AGAGAGAGAGAGAGAGAGAGAGAGAGAGAGAGAGAGTCGGAGCAGCGGGCAGACAATAGATAAACTGGCATGAGTTGGTGAAAGAAACAACGGGGGCCAGTGCAGAGACTCGAGTCTTCGGGAGGCAGGCGTCTCAGCACTAGAGTATCCGGCTCGTCAGGAATACCACCCGGATGCATTCGGTCGCGACCGCTCGTAGCTCGCCAGGTTATCTTCGACGAGGGCTCTCGCCTCACGCGACGAAGAAGCTCTGCCCCAGGCGCGTTCCCGAGCCCCGGGAGCCGCTGCCCCGCCTCGAATCTCATTCGCGTTGACTCCACTCGCGCGTGCTTTTGTTTTCCTCGGCCGTCTCCTCCTCACTCGCCGGAGGAGCTTTTGGCTGTTGGCCCTGGACCACGGACGCCAGCCGCTATGGAGGAGGTTCTCGACGACTCCTTCATCAAGACCAAATTTTACCCACGGGATCTGCCCGGCTACCTGCAGGATTTCCCTGTAATTATAAAGCAGACTCACCATCCACCGAGCCTTCTCCTACCTCCTGCCCCGATTATCTCCATCTCGCCTTCTCCTCTTCCTCCCTCGATCCTACATATCTCTCACACACACACACACACCCAACACGGAGACCCTTTATTTCACGCCTAAGCACGTCTACACTCGATGGGTGAGGAGGTTATGAGGACTAAACATAACAACTAATCACATTATAAGCTATCACTGCTATCATCATATCATAATTTCAAAATCATTTTTATTATTTAATAATATGCATTGTAAGTGCCTATATCTTGTTTTCATCTTCCATATATTTAACACAGGCACGGAGTAATTTTTATTTGCTTTTAAATGCAAAGCTGATTCATGGGGAAGTGCAATAATTTCAAACAAAGAGATTTGCTCGTTCAAGCATTTTCGACACTTGTAAAAAGCCTATGTTCTTAGGGCATTTTTCAAAACAAGCGGTTGTTTCATTACTCAAGAATGTACATTTTTAATAAGACTGTTTAAATAAGAAAGTTTTTAAATTTACGTTTCAGATTTATTTTGCTTCTTGCTATCGCAGATAGACGTGAAGTATCATTTCATCCCTTCACATATACTATATTAATTAACAAATTAAAAACTAATTTCTTTACGCAATCGATAGGGTGTTTTCTTTCAAAGAGTTTTATTCTGATAATTTGTCATCGTACTTGTTATCATCAAATAAAGAATGCCTGCCTACTTTTTTAGAATGATTCACATTTATGTATTAATAGCAATATAGTCTATTACTTATATGTAAATGACAAACTGAAAGAAGCCGTTAAAAACTGCAAATTAATATTTACAGTAAAAATATAAATGATTTATTATAGTGAGTAATATTTTTCCTTTGGTTAAAAGGAAATCATCGGTTCTAAGGACTGCGATATGTCAATTTTATAAGCTCGACATTCATTTCGTTCATCAACGATCATTTGATGTGAAAACTATAAACGAGAAGTATATATATTTGAGTCTTGAATAATTCTAAATTGCTGATATAAGTTTCTGCTATTATTAAATTGTAGATGTAGAGATATATATGTTAACAATGATAATAATAATAATAATTTTATTTTAGGCTGGAGTTGGATACTTTCAAGCGTTGGCAGCATTATATGTTGGCCTGTGTCTTGCCGCTGATACAGTAGAATTTTTCGTAGTACCATACATACTCCCAAGTGCAGAAGTGGAATTGTGCATCGAAGACAATGAAAAAGGATGGTTAGGTAAAATTCCACATGCTATAGTAGTACAACTGTAACATTAAATCAATAAGTAATTTATTCAATTAACAAATTTCCAATCCATCCGTGCATTCGCGTAAGCGAGAATGAAATTCTGACAGTTCTGATAGACTAGCAACTCCGACAACTCTCATTAATAATAGCACAAGCAATTTTCTACTCCTTAGAGGCATCGTCCGCAATGAATATCGAATTTAATGAAACTAAATTTTCTTAACAAAAGGTAACATTACCTTGATGGGCCTTGCTCTCGGAGGCATTTGTTGGGGAGGATTGGGAGATCGATTGGGCAGAAGAAGGTCTTTGCTATCCGCAATGTCAGTTCATGCCCTCTTTAGCGGCGTAGCTACCTTCATGCCGACTTATGGGACTTTTATGACAGCTAGATTTTGCTCTGCCCTTGGGTAAGTATAGCGTTAGAATATTAAAGTATGCTTAACACAAAATTCTATTCAATTCTTAGTCGCAAATGTATTTGAAATGTCTGACGTACGGCGAAAGGTCTGTGGAGGATAAGAGGAATTTTTACTACTCGACGTACTGTCGAGTAATTTCACAACATCTGCACTCCTGTATTAAGTCAGGGGGAAAATCATAATCAATCAATGTTTATAAAAAGCGCCTTACCTTAGCGCTGGCATTATGTGACTTTACCAATGTTATTGATCGATAAGGTTAAGTCAGTTAGCCAATAAGTCTAGTGATTTCGAATTCGTGGAATGAATAAATATTATATCATCGGCTCTAGACTTCTTTATAAAATGCGTGCTCGGTCACTCGGTAGCTAAAAAAAAAAAAAAAAAACACGAGAGA